AATTTTTAGTCTTTCAAAATATGGATTACATATTTAGGATATTTTTTCTCGATATTTTTGAACTTTAAATTGATTAGAAACATAGACATATAATTAAAAATAATTCTATATATTTTGTTGGAATATTCTTAGCTTTAACAAATTATTGAGACTACTCTTTGAAATATATTTGATCTCCAAAAATAATACCTCTTCTAAGCTAAATAGAACACCGCCAATCGGAGCTCCAAAAGCGACAGAAACTCCTGCTGCGGCCGCAGCAGATAAAATTTCTCTCTTTTTCGCTTCATTCCTACCATATTTTGGAAATAAATAAGAAAATATATTTCCTATACAGCATGCAATATGTACCATGGGACCTTCCTTTCCCAAACTTAAACCCGCTGATACAGAAAGAATCAGACCTACTGACTTAATAATCAGTGTCCATTTACCGAGATATCCGCGGATAATAAAGCCACTCAAAATTGTTTTTATCTGAAAAAATATACACATATGAACAGAATGTAAAAATAAAAAAAAATATTTATTGGATTTATATGCTTATTATGTCATATTATCGAATCATATATTTATAATATTTCTAAAAAAGAGAAAAACTTGATAAATTTACTTCAGGTATTCCAGAGCCACAAGCATACGGAGCAAACATTCGCACTAGAGATGCAGAAAGTGCTGCGAATAGAAGCGCCCATGCTGTATAAAATAAATATGATATTGTATATGGTCCTGCCCCTTCTTTTGCCTGATATAATACTTCGGGCCACGTCAACCACTGCAAAAAAGATATTATATTATTAATTATATTGGAAAAAAATTTAACATAGCTTTCGGAAATATAATAAATTTGTGAGTCATAATAAAATTAGAGAGCCATATATTTACCTGTGTGCAATTTCCACCATCAAACGTAGTTTCATTATAGCTCCAACAACATTGCTCTTTATTTAACCAGAAAGCTTGTGGACAGATACCGAATTTAAGATCTGTCATCCAGGAAGCGCCAATATCTATAACACCAGCCGCCACTCCCGTAAAAAGTCCGACTAGTAAAACGCATAGCCATCCCGACCATGCGTCATGAGCTCCTTTTATCAAACCCCAGATAGAATCGTGCTTCTTTTTCACGATATAACGATGTCGCATTCGATCTCGCGCGATATCCCGTTGCCAATCGATAGTATGAAAGTCATCATACTGTCCAATACCAGGTATGTCATCAGAGTCAACTGAAACTAATAAATTTTAAAATTTCATAACAACACTAAATTATTTTGTAATGCTTTTGATACAACTTTTGAGAATTGTATTTTCAATTGTTGTATACGTATAAAAAATAATCACCAAAAGAATATTGTGTATATATAAGACAGAACTAGCAAATATTTTTCCTACAATTAGTAATAATAAATATAATAATCAGAATACCCTGTATCATTTTCTTCTATAATAATTTCCAATTTATTTACAAAACTCGATATATATTACATATAATATAATCGAGGTAAGATTTTGAAGCAATATGAAATAAAAAACATTTTAGCATTATTTAGCATATTATTTTAATATTTATCTTTTTCAGTGTCTGTACTTAAACTTTAATGTCTTAACTTATACTTATGCATGTATATACATTAATTACTCTGTTACAAGTATGACAAAGCAAGTTTCACATATGTAGAAATACATATAAATACTTACAACATATATATATATTTTTTCACTTTAAATAAATTGTAAAATAATGTATAAAAAAATAAAAAACGTCTTTAAAGTATTGAATAAGTTTTTGAAAATATTTCTATATAATTAAAAATATATTTTATTTTAATTATACATTATTAGAATTTAGAAAGCACACATAAATGTACATTAGTAGTCTATTGAAGGGATATAAAATCATAATAGGTTTAAGCATTTAAGGATATAAAATTCCATTGTTAATAACATTGTTAATATACTTCATCAGTTTGAAAAAAATCTTATTCGAATATATAATTATATATGTTTAAGATCGATCAAACTTGTCTTTTAAAACTATATCTATCTATTGTTTTGTCTTTTTTTAAATTAATTAAGTTGACATTAAATTATACTGGCAATTATTTGTTAACTTACACATTTTGCCACTATGACATGTCACAAGTGCAAATAAATTTGGCTCAATTGTTTAACCAGTATCACTCAGGAATCAGGAATAAACTTCGAATCAGATGAGTAGACAAACAGATAAGATGAACAAATCAACAGATGTCTCAGGAGAGAGACTACTAAATTCCAAGGTTATACAAATGGATTTAACTTGGTAAAATTTCTTCTATATTTCTTTATAATGCTCGCTAAAAATAAATAAAAGCTGTATGTAACATTATTGGATTGGATGGAATAATAGATAATGCATACATGCGAATAATCAGATAATGCATGCGTGCAAATAATCAAATAATGCATGCGTAAAAATAACTTAAATCACTTACGATGGGAAGATGCATCGTCGATGCGGACGCAATCTGATAACACGTTATTATCCGAATGAGATGTGTGATGATTGATATCCAACATGTCGTCGTCGCTACTTAGATTTGTTTCGCGTCTTATAGTTCCAGTTCGTAGTCGTACATCCTCTGTAATGTCACCATACTTTATATTCTGAAAATACAAGATTTACCTGCTTAATATTATCTACTTTTATAATTTAGCTGTAGCTTAGAGATCAATCAATTTTAGTATAAAATAAAGATATGTTAAACCAAGTTTATAAAGACAAAAAATGCATGACTTTCTAATATTTTTGACAAATTTTAGCATATGCAAGTATATATGAAATATTAATATACATAAGAAACATATGATAGTGTATGAGACCATTAAGGAAATAAAAGGAAAAAATTATACATTTTATAAAAATATATTAATCTAGGTGTAACAAAACATATAATATGCAAGGCAAGAAGATGCAGATTGAAAGTAACAACATACCTTTGCATCAACCGAATGATATGTTGTAACGGCATTTGCATTTGAATGAATTGCCGAATTCAAGGATGGTGTACCTTTCAACGGAAACCTCTCCATGGCATCATGATAATCTGATTTTACACAAGTAAAATATTACTTTGCCGTCTCAAAATGGAATGTAAAGATTCGTTATCAAGATTCTACATGACAGAGAGAAAGCAAAAGCCACAATGCCATACATGGTACTAAATATTCTATTAACAAGCATGTCATTAATATGTGGCTTAATCGGCTTTGCCGTAATCCTATTTAATCCTTCGAACGGATGCTATGTAATATAATTTGAATAATATATCCGTGATACACAGAATTACAGATACTTTATTCATTATAGATTTTACAAGTGTGCCATACGTTGCGACAAATGTTGTATAGCTATAAATTTGACATAAGAGGAATATCGTTTTTTTTTTTTCAAATTATGTCAAATATTATCTTTGTGATTTGCATCTTCTTGTTCAAAAAGAAAAGATTTGTTAAAAAACATCAATTACACACAGCATGCCAACAAAATGATATTATAAATTGAAATCATTCCTAGAAACAGCTTTTGAAATGAATATAAAAAAACACAGAACACAGTACAATGCACTTGGGACACCATATGATAACTTTTTCTCCCCTTATAAAACGTGCACGTCACGAATTTTCTCTTGCGGATAAATTAAGCACGGAAAAATATACTGACGTAGTACATTCAAAACTGCGTATTTTCGAGCTTACTTTTAAGCTTCTTTAAATGACGTTTCATTCCCCAAGAGAGATGAGGTTACCTTACCAAATTACTTCATGCGTGTCAGAATGTTCGAGAACTTACCATTTTTAAGGAAAAACGTCCTCGTGTTTTATCTACAAACACCAATCATTATGCCATGTTTTAGATTAGATTGTATCAGATTAATTTAACAGTTCCACGACAATAAGAACTTCGTCGGATCAGCACTCCACTATCACGTATAAACCTCCTTGCAATCCTTTCGGAGCGGAGTCAAAAGGTAACAAGGCAGAATAGAAAGTGAGCTCATTTTCAGTACTACAGTCGCTCACTAGGCGGCTAATAGCGAATTCAATTGGACATAGGTTACGTTTACACCGTGCGTTTAGTCCACCACCTATACAATAGGTATCTTTGTTTAACCTACAGGATAAACAAGGACATCTATTGTATAGGCCGCGGCCTAATATAGCTAAATTAGCGCGAAGGAAACTTCCAACAGTTGCAAAATAAACGTTCTGCTGAACGCAGCCATTGAAGATTGAAATTGAAGATTGAAAGATTGAAATTTGACCAATCAAAACAATAGGATCTAAAATTCCTTTGTCCTCAGTGGTCAAATTTTAATCTTCAATCTTCAATCTCAATCTTTAATGCGTAGTCTGATTGCGGCCTAAGGGTGGAGTCCCATGAGGTGTATTTATCGCGTATCGCGTAAGCGCATAACCAATCAATAATCAGTAAAACGCGAAACTATAACAGCAGATCGCTTCTGATTGGTTACGCGGTTATGCGATACGCGATAAATACACCTCATGGGACTCCACCCTAAGTAGTACGAAAAGCCGAAATTCAATCTAAATGAAATCAACTACCAGGACGAGTTGTGATTGGCCACTGCTTTTACGCTTTCTGTTTTTCCATCAAGGTGTGAACGCGCCCTAATAGGTTATCGGTTGACTGAAAAACAGAAAGTGGAAAAGCAGTGGCCAATCACAACTCGCGCTGGTAGTAAGTAGTACAAAAAGATGAAATTGTCGACTACTAGTGCGACTACTACTATTCTATTGCTTTTCCGCTTTCTGCTTTACCGTGTAAACGCGTCCTAATTCGTGCTCGGTTCAGTTCTCGCTGCTATTGGATAATCTAAAAGAATACACCAATAGCAGCGAGCGCTCACGGATTCGCTCCACAACAGTTGAGTTTGCTGAACGCGACCAATGCAAGTGCTTGAAGTGCATATAAACTCGCACTTATGCATTACCGGTTGAGTTGTCGAGTATTGATGTGACATATCATCTTGTAATATTTACCTCATACTTCAATTCTGAAATAGTAATATTATTAAATGTGAAAATGATTAAATTAACGCAGGATATTGATTTGGAGAATTATACGCTCATCTTGCCATCGGTAGCGGTCGGAAACGTTGGACAACTGTCTGTTGACTTACTTATTTCGAATCTTAACCTTCCAAAAGTCGGTCAAATTTTTAGCGCGTCATTCATACCTGTCGTTGGTGCAAACGCCTATCACGAGCATTCGAATGAGATTATTACAGCAATTGATATTTATGCAGGCATCAAGGAACGTATTGTTGTTATACAGATCCGATCGCCGTATGTTGGCGAGCTTTTAGAATTTTTCAACGAACTGAAGCAGTTTGTCACCGAGAGAAAAATAGCTAAAGTAATATATTTTAATTCTGTACTCTTAATAATATCGCAATTATCTTTTTTTTATGAAATTTTTTTCACAGGTAATAATTCTTGCAAGCAGTCATGATTATGCAAAAAGGGAAGTCCAACCGCAACATCTCAAGTTGAGATATGTTGCCTCTCCTAGTATACAGTCTCAGACTGGCAAACTCTTTGATGACCTCAACTGGATTCCACATAAACCGAAAGACGTGACTGGAGAGGAAAGATTGCAGATACCAGGGGGTGGATTTGCTAAGAGCATCTTCAACTTTCTGTCCAATGCTGACATTCCTTGCGCCATCTTGTTCAAATTCTGTTCTGAAGGGGATAATATAGAAGATGCAATAGCTCTGGTGTGCTATTTAAATCAATGGATACATGTATTAGGAACAAGCAGTAGTAATTTGAAGTATCCACCGTCTTGGAAACACTTATTTGGGAAGCCGCCATCAGAGGATATGTATTGATTGTATCTAGATATATTTTGTACTATTCTGTTAATCTTAAAATAATAATATTTTTGCTATACAAGTGTATATTTGAATGTAATATACAATTTAGAACATTATTCATATAATTTATATGAAAAGGACTATAGTATCTATATCAAAAAACTAACGATATATTATGTTCAAAAAAACTTAATTCCTTATGGTTTAGATGTGAATGCAGTAAATTGTAATAAAAACTTATGGCTTTGTTTCACTTGGTACCTGCAACGTTCTTGTATCCATTTCATCTTTTTTACCAATTAAACAAGAAATTTATATGAGCCTTGTGAGCACCAAGTAGAACGCATCCTATGTATATGTTGTAATGTATAATTTAACTTCTTTATGGAATATATAAAAATATATACAAATAATTTTATTTTATTAAGTTTTATTTCTAAGGAAATAAATAATACTTATTCAAATATTTTATTTAAATGTTTATTTTTTAATAACAAAAAAAATATTCTACGCTAGAAGTTTGTATTTTGCAGAAAATGCCGAATAGGATACAAGAATAGCTAAGAAAGCGGCTAAGAATTCGGAGTTTACCCAAGGACCGAGAAAAATTCCCGGATTATTTAGAACAACTACTGCTAAGGGATTCACACTATCAGGATCTTCTCCATTCCTTATTGCTTTACGAACAGCAACATATTTTTCCTCGTCATACAGTTTTATGTAATAATCACCAGACCTTGCTTTCTTGATATCTTCTGTCCAGGATATCTATAGCACAGGCAAAATAGTTTCATGAGTATTAAATTATCATTGATGACTTTCATGTTGATCAGAGTCTTGTGTTATCATTGATGATTTTTATTAAAGTACTAGACAAAGTTAGATGGTTTCAAATTCAATTTTCAATTAATAATTCGAAATCAAAATAAGTAAATTGTTAAAAATATTTTAAATATGTTGTGTGTTATTATTTTTGTTCGAATTGTCGCACGTTTAATTTACAATCTTTGTTTAATTCAGACGTATGTCAATTTGATTCGCTTATGTTAAGATAAGCAACGTTAAAAAAGTATATGATATATTACCTGATATTTATTATCGGCGCTCAATCTGACTGCCGGCAACGTCTTGCCTTCGACTTCGGCATACAAACTGATTCCCTTTACACCGTTGTTGCACTTCAACACGAATTGCATGGTAAAAGCGACATTCGTGAGGACCGTCGCGTCTTCCGTCACATATGACGATGCGACGATCTCAGGTTTTTGACAGGTCTCGGCGAAAGCCACGGAAATTAAACTCGTTAACGCGCACAAGAAAATAACCTTGTTCATCTTGAAAATTTTAATATTCTTTCCAACAATTTTGGCAACTGTCTACGATAAATATGTTGGAATATGCGCCTTCCAACCGTTCCAACGTGCGCGAACTACGCTAATAATTCCAACCGGCCACCTACCGACCTAACCCTAAACATGCCACGTCGATACACGCAACACATACATGACGACACGCCGTCTGGTGAACAAACGTGAAAAGAATTTATTGCAAGATCTGGGGATCGATTTATTTTCAAAGGAGAAATTATAAAAGTGAGCAAATATTCTAAATCAATGAAATTATAAATATTTTAAATATTTTAATATTCTGAATTTACTCACTATGATTTTCATCTCAATTCAAGATAATAGAGATAATACCGAGTATTGTCCAATTTTTTCTCCATTTATATTTTTTTAAAGTACTATTTTATAATTTACATTGCTAATAAGTAATAGTTGAATATAATGAATTCATGCTTTTGGATCTAATTATTCAATTAAATTTAATTGCAGGGATGGAAAAGTTATTTTTTACATATTACATGTTACCTTACATATTTTAAGTGTTATAGAAATTTAGTATAAAAAGTAATACGAAATTTGAACAAATAAAGCATAATATAACGACAAATAAAATACCCAAACTTTTGTATTCGATTTCTAAAATAAATACTTACAAGGTAACCTAAAAAATGAAGTATATAAGCAACTTATAAAGTAACTTTCCCAACTTTGTTCAATTGTATATATTCTAAAATTCTAAATATTTTATCAATTGTTTGGCTACAATTGTGATAATGTGTTTTCGACTGTGGTGGACAGTGTGGATGTGGATCACATGAGATGTAATTTATCATAACCTCAAATTAGAAAATGTACATTGATACACATGCTTTATTTGCATGAGAATATTTGACTGATAATATAATAAATTTTAGTGTGATTAATATTTATTTATTCAGATTTATTTCTATCGTATCAATTTTTCTATTCGCACGACCATGACAGTCAAGAATGAGAATGAAGGGAAAAGAGATGAAAGTGGTGTTAGCCAAGGAGCAGAAGATTTATGGGGATCTGATATGTATCCAGAAAGGAGAGGAGGAACATTTCAGCACAGTTGGTTTAAGATATTAATTGGCGCTCAGGGACGTGAATCAATAGACAATAATCGATGTGAATACAATGTCTATAAATGCATAAAAGATAGTAAGATATCTCTTATTTATACAAAAGAAATGGAAATCGAAGTATGATTCACAAACTTTTAATGCCTCATAAATAGAATTTATATATTAATTTAATTTGCTTTTATTGTGTATAAATATAACATCTATCATTTTATTTTTTGTTTTATATAATTAAATCTAATATCGTTTTTTCATCGTTTATATGTTATTTCTAGGTCCTATAGTAAAACTCATGATGGGAGCACTGAAGAGTTCTGGATGGTTTGTAAATTGTTTTTTATGTTATATATATATATAATTTCATTCCATTATTGTTTATTAGACTAGATTATTATTATTAATATTCCAGTGAAATAGATATTCGACGACACATTTCTTGTGAAGTGTGTAATCCGATCGTAACTGGTGGATATGATTCAGAATTTAATCAGGTAAATATTTCTTCAAATTGCTTGACTAAATTTATTTGGGCTGCTAAATATTTTACTTACGAAATATTTTGTATTACATTTCTATAAAAAATAGATTCTGTTTTACTGTACATTATCCATAATTATGTATGCTATAAATAAAATTATTTTCTTTACAGATAGTTATCTGTCAAAATTCGGCACATAATGAAAACATGGTTCGGGGAGTTCTTCTACATGAAATGATTCATATGTTTGATTACTGCCGTAATAAGTTAGAAGTGAAAAATATTGATCATCTAGCCTGTACAGAAATTAGAGCAGCAAATCTTGCACACTGTAGTTTTATGAGTTCACTATTACAAGGCGATTCGTCTTTTATTAATATAAAAGCTACACATCAGGTAAATATTACCAGATTTTAAGAGATTGATTCAAGTGATTATGTATCTTTTTCTTCTCTTTCTTTTAGAATATATTCATTCTTGTATGAGCGTTATTTCTAATTTCTAATTTTATTAATTTTATAATGTTTTTATACAGAATTGTGTAAAACACAAAGCACGACTGTCAGTAATGGCTGTGCACAAAGTATCAAAAGAAGTTGCAGAAGCAGCTATAGAGAGAGTATTTACAAAGTGTTATAATGATTTAGAACCAATTGGCAGAAGAATTCGTAGGAATTCATTTGATATGCCGAGAGCATATGCGGAAGGACATTTATATGGATATGACATGTAAATATTTAAAAAATTGTATGAAAAAATTATACATAATAGTATGAATGCAATAATAGATACACGTTTTGTTTGATTATATTTATTAGTATTTATTACAATTAACATCATATGATAAATTCTATTTTTTATCCACATTTAGCCGTTGTTTTTCATAGTATATGTACATATTATATATATACATATATATATATTTATATGTGTATATATGTATGTGTATATATATAATGATTTTATTCTCCAGATACTATTAAGTATCTACATACTAGTTAATATTAATAGTCAAGTAAAAGATAATCGATGGAAGTTTAGTATACAGACTTTATTAGGTTGAACATTTAACAGTAATTAAATATTTTTATATAAAAAGTTTAAAAATTTTATTTAATATAGAGATTAGTAAAAAAATTATTTTTTTGTTTATATTACATATATCAGTTGAAACTAGGGTTGATTGTAGAAATATTTCTATTTATGTATAAATCTGGCAGTGTTTCAGAAAAAGAGGATATTAACATTGTGTTTAAATTTTATTGTAAGTAAATTTTTTTTCTCAAGTATATGATTGTAGCCACCTCATTACATAGCTCAATTGCGAATTAATTTTATATTATAATATTTATAATATTCTTAGCGGTAATTATCTATATTAATTATTTAGAGTTTTAAATTATTTATGTGATAATTTCTCAAATACTGAAGATAAAACAATAGATTTTGGTGCGTAAAGCAAGACAGAATAGTATAAATAATAGAGTACTATATGTCTATTTTATGTCTATTTTTTTCATTCTGTGTGATTTTTATCAAAGCAGTGCTAAAAAATATAATTTGATTGCTTAATAAAATATATAGGAGATATTTATTTATAATATAAATTAATGTGATCCAACAATTTACGCAATTGCAACAATTATATTTGCTGTTGAAATTGGTTTGTGATCTAATGAACATAAGATAAAATAGATAATACTATTATTATAATATAATGATTATATATCACAGATGAAATAAGTAAGTTTCTTAATTATTTATTATTTCCTGTATTAGTTATTTAAATTATTTATTTAAATCTGAAAAAAAGGAAAATTGGATCACATCAATATATATACAATTTGTTTCAAAATTGGTTGAATAGATACATAGCACTACTTTTTATGAAATTTATGTTAAAAATAGATTTTTATTTGTTTATTAATAATAGTAAGCAAAATAAATTCTATTAGTAATTTTCCTCAGCTATGAGCTATGAAAAAGCTTCTTACGATTAACAATTGCATATAAACATTACAATTATTATTCATATCTTTCAAATAGAAGTAGAATTTAGTAAAATTTTGACTTTGAATTTTAAATATCGAATCGATATATAGATATCGAAATCGAAATATTAAAATTCAAAAGTTACAAACATTATCTCTCTGTTCGCCTTTTTTAATAAGAAAGAGTTAAATTGAAATTTTACGAAGGATGTTATGTGTGAATTTTTCGTCAATTTTAAAACGCTGAATACGTTATTATTGGTATCGTATTAAGAAATATATAGCGAACATTTGTCTTCTACGTAATTATCATACTTTCATGATACATTCTTGCTAATCTTCAATATCTTTAAAAATATTGTTACATGCAGTATATGCGACATTGTGTTCTGTAGTCTTTTTGATTTAACAGAAATTGAACAACCCTAGAACCCGACGCTAAAGCTAATAGCCTCGATTGAAATTTCCACCGTCGAAGCGAGGATTTCCATCATAAGAAACCTGTGCGCTAAAACCGTGTTGCCAATCCGCGGTGTATCGCACAAGTTGCGTTCTACCGTCCGGAAGTTGTACCTTATATTCACCACGGACGACTTCGCCGTCGCTAATGGCATTGTGTGAATAATCGTTGCCGAAAGCGTCCTCTTTCACAGCGTAGTTGAAATCAAAGGGCATGCCAGGTTCGTGATGATGATGATCATGCTGCAATGCATTCATTAATTAAAAAATTAAATACGTGTGCAATATCGATTTATATCTATAATTTTATACATACAAACCTCAATTATATCATCTCATTCGGATAAAAATAAAAAATATAAAATGATTATTAATTTGAATAAAGTCATACTTATTTTTCATAATTGAGAGATTATATCAGTTAAATATAGATTATCGTATATCTTACATTTTTCTGCGACGATACAAAGAAAGATACAAATATGTGTTTGAACAGTTGAAACAGTATGAATTTTAAGATTGAATCATTTAAATAATTCAATCCTAAAATCCAAATAATATTTTTGTAACAATATGTATAATTCAATATAATATAAAATTCAATCTCCTAACTATTTAAATAATTCAAGCCTAAGAATTTGAACTATTCGATCAATTAGATCTAACTGCAAATCTGAAAATAGAGCAAGCACAGAGCTGTTTATTTCCTTTTTTTAATGAATACTATATTATTTTTACTTGAATTTTCTTTAATGTCCGAACCATTTTAAATCTATTAAAAAATTTACTAAATATTAATATTAGGTATTTTTTTTAATAGTACAAAGTAAATATTTATTTACAGAAAATAAATATTTAATGAAAAAAGTGAAAATAGTTAAATTAATTGCTTTTGTATCAAATAAATATATTTACATTTAGTAAATATTGACTTAGAACTATTCAAACAAATAAATCAATGGTTTTATTTAAGTTATTTTTATCCAAAATTGAATTCGAACTTTCTACTTCAAACTGTTTGAATAGGATACTTCCCAATTTTGAGAGGTGTTATCTATCAATTTTTAAATGTCTATGTCTATTTTATTATATATAGATGTCTATTTTATTATATATAGATTAGATCTATATATATATCTATATATATTAGATGAAAGAAAAATTAATTTTTCAGCTACAGTTCCTAAAGTGCAGATTTTTTATAAGCAAAGTATGCATTTGCTCTGTATCTCTTTAAAATCAGTTAAATATTAGATACAGATTTTTGTTTAGTACAATTTATACTTACGTCAGGACCACCGCCGGGAGGTCTTCTATCACTAATGCCTCTATTATTGCTGTCTGGGACATAGTCTGGGAAAGGAGGTGTGGGTACTATTCTAGGATATCCTGTGCTCGGTGACGGCGGTAAAGTTCCTGAAGTTCTGGTAGGTTGTAGGTAGGTAGGTGTCGGTCTGGGGAAGGTTGGCCTGGTTCCGGGGAAGGTTGGCCTGGTTCCGGTGAAGGGCGGCGTTGGCCTAGATGTAGGGAAGGACGGCGTCGGTCTGGGTCCAGGAAAGCCTGAAGTAGGAAACGACACCGTCGGCGTGGGTTTCGGAAATGGTATCGGCGGCTTACTGTACGCGTAACCTTTCGTCGGCTCTGGCGGCAAGTAAGTATTGCGCCGTGTGCCTGGTGGCAGATCACCAATAACGCTGGCTACCGTCACGCAGAGCACGATCAGCTGTGCAGGAGAAATCGGGTCATTAGTGAGATACATCCTCTCGGAACGTATTTTACGGAAGAAGTCATAGAGTAGAATTAAATAAAATAAAGATTGATCTCTCGCTTAAAAAAAAAAATCGAAGCAAGGGTTATATTCGGATAGCCAAATCTGTTGAGATTTTGAAAAGCTCTGCGACAAATTTTATCGACAGAATGCAACATAAATATAACAGACTGCTATATGATAGAATATAATATTCTGTAGAAACTGAGCAGAATCTACGTTTTGTATGATATATTTAAATTAACACAGTTTAAATATTTAGAAAATGACCGATTCTATATATATTCAGTTCCTGAACGACAATCTGCTATTAGATTATATCAGCAGACTCTGCCGATAAAATACGAGTTTAATGCGGACATGGATGATCTCTTGCAACATCTGAACAAATCTGTTGCTAATCCGTAATTGTCGTTATGCAGGCAGTTTGCTCACTAGAATACGCAGGCCAACATTTGATTGAAGAGAATCTGAGTAGAGATTGAAATTAACCGCTATTTATTCCGAGTTAATACCATGTTTTGAATATGAGAGACATCTGCGCTGTCAATTCGTAATATTGGTTTACATATTCTTGTTTAGATTATATAACACAGTTTAACAAAAAATAACTTTTACTAGTCATTTCTTATAGTCTTTTCGGATGCTAAATACAAATCCTGTTTACAAATTGCTCTATCACGTCACAATTTTAAAAGATTTGCACTTATAATTGCAAAAAAAGATTATTTTCTTTGTACTTTATCATATTATAATTACATATGTATGTACGTGATATTACGTGCTAAATAAGCTTTATTGTAATCAAAGTTAAGTATTTTGTTCGAATTTGTAGCCTTCAAGAAATTTTTTCTGTCGGCTATAATTAATAAGATATTCATATAGTTAAATGTTGCAGAAAAGTTTGAATTTTAGATCATTGATAATTTACTAAATAGTTTTCAATTATATTTATTTAAAGATTTTTTTAGATCGCTGAACATGAACTTGATGTAAAAATTTTATGAATTAAAAATAATGAAAAATTTCTTTACATAAATTTTCGCAACAATTCGGACATTTTTTAAGTTTTGTTATCTGCCCTATTATATTGACTGCACTATTTTGAATTTGTCAATTTTGATATCGGATTTGTAGCGACTTAAAAAGCCTTAAGTTTAAATAAATATGGGGTGACTCCAGTATTTGTGACGCCACACGAGGATTTACATCACAGAAGTCAGTAAAACTAGAAGGAATGGGGATAATGTGCATGCAACCATTCTATTATATGCCTTTATGTTATATTAGTATCGTGTTATGAGTTTCCTACTGTTAGTATTAATAAAATTACTGTCATTTGAATCATTTGTCAATGTGGTAGCGCAATCATATATCATAATTTACATAAAATGATTATTGTAGAGATTCTAAAAGGCTTAATGGTTATTTGGTGATACATAAGTGTAAAAGGATAGTAAAGAATGGAGTATGGCAAACTACAACTGCTTAGTTCTTATATTCTTTGTTCAGATTGATGTCTTGTATATATACGCTGCGCGTTCACTTGGCGCGAGACACTACCGTGTCTCTTGATTTCACCTGTTTGGGGAGAGGGAGATATATGCATTTTTACCGTGTGAGATTTATGCCCAAAGCATACAAAGTGCGCAGATTGGATTCAGTGCACTAAATGCAGTAAAATGCATTACATAAAATATGTACTTCATAATTTTAATATTCGTTTTATATATATATATATATAATTCTTTAATAAAACTTTGTAAGCACATTTTATAAGTTATTGTGTCATTTTATGTCTTATTTATAAACATTATTTGTAAATTTTTCGTGAACCTACCTATAAGTAACTGTATATCCCATTCTATGGGATATACAATACGGGGTACTCGTACAGCGAAAATGCAAAGGTTTCAAAAAGTTCTTTTTTTAATACGAACAATAAGTATATATATATTTTGGATTTCTAATATTTTTTTCATGGTAGTAGACAGTACAAAGTTTTTACTGGTACAGTTTATTTATCTTAAACATAGTAAATAATACTTAATAAATTAAGTTTTTGTTAGGTGCGGTGTATATACTAGAGTTACCCTAATTGAAAGTTCTTTGGTAAATCGTTAATGATCTAATTCACAGTTGTTTCGCAACATTTAATTATGAATATCTTATCAACTATAGCCGACGCAACACATTTCTTTTGAGGGCTGAAAGTCTTAATGATATATTTAATTTTGATTGCAATAAAAACTTTTCCAACAGATTACATATTGTATTTATAATATGACAACATACATGAAAATAGTTCTTTTTACAACTGCAAATTTCTCAAAATTATAATATAATGGAGCAATTTGAAAATTGGATTCGTATTCAGCAATCAAAAAATTTTGGGAAAGACTGATTTCGTTCTAATGTTATTTGTTGAATTGTGTAAAAGAATACTATTGATTAAAAAGTAAATTGTTGATTCCAAATCGAAACAAATGAGTGTCATGTCTATTTCTACCAATATAGATTAACTTTAATATCTCGGTTTAACATATCTTTTATCCTTCTCTAATTCTGAAAACTGAAAAAAATAAACATTAAGTTAAACCAAGATTAAAGTTAAATCTTGATAAAAACGAACATTAGTAAACTAAAGAATTGTCAGGAAAACGATTTAAACGTACGATTAAGAAAAAAATTGCACCTCGTAAAGTTTGTGTAATATGTATGTCACAGTTATACACTGATGAGCAATTCTTCGTAATGAGAAAAAAATGTCGGCGATTTTAAACTGAATATTATTAAATATTATCGTCTTCTGTGAGATCTTAGATTTTAAACCAATGGATATATTCTTCGTTATGGCCGTTGAAGGGATAGAAATCTTTCTTATGCTGCTGTACATTATGATGTGTAGTTTTTATTAAGTTTAAAAGACTTTGGGATAATTTACCGTACGCCTGAAAGAAAGTATGAATTCTTTGCATTTATATTTAAGCGTTTCACAAAAATAGAGCTAATGATCGGAATTTCGTGTGAGATTAAATTTTTTGATTAAAGAAAAATACTTCTACTATGAAATAATCTAATATAAAAGATTTTTTAATTTTGACGGAAATTAAGATTCACTAAAGTGAATCTGTTTTTCACAAATGATAATTATAATAATTGTTTGTTCTAATTTTATGTTATACTTTTAATTGAGAAATTAAATTTCTTAATTTTTGATCATTACGTCAGAAGAAGATTTGAAATTACTAGAAAGAAATAAATTAGGAAGAAATAAATAGAAATAAATTAAAAAATATGGGTAGGCTACACAGTTCTAATTTCAAAAATTATAAATTTATGATCTTGTGTATAATAAATTTTGTCTTTTTCTCTCAATTCTTTTTAAAATGTATTTCTTGTTGTATCGTTATGTATTACATTATTGCATTGATAAAAAATATTACCAAACCTAATAAAAGACTCATTTATCTTTAAATAACAGATCTTTTCAATGTAATGAAACTGAAATAAATGTAATATTACGCCTTGATGCGTAATAAAGCGTTACAAATGTGGCTATTAGTTATCTTACGAAGTTAAAGACGTTGCAAGTTTACCATGGCAATGCATTATTTCGCATTTGCGATACGAATGCGCAACGAAGACGTGTTTTTATAACCGGAACATATGTCAGCAGTCGACATTTTGAGAAATCGTTTAGGTCTATATAATGAGAACATAATAAGCCGTGAGGATGTCGTAAACTCTGATGTAGATAACTTATAGTATGCCATAAACACAAATGCGTATGGACATTCGATGCATAGGTTTCACATTTACTTTTGTATTCTAATTATCGTATATATTATTACAGAGTTTTGGCTGTTTTTTCATCTATTTTTATCATGATATATATTTCAGTTCATCGTTTCATGATATACGCAACATAAAGTGTCGTATATTTTTATATTTTATCATATAGAAAAACATTTTTATTTTTAAATACAGTATTAAATATAGGCAAAGTATTATGTACGTGTAAAGTATGTTATTTTTATCCTCATTTTTTTTATTGCGAAAGAGAATATCTGAGCTTACTTTTTCGAATGTAAATATTACAAAAATAAATCGAAATGATTAGATTTTTATGACGGTTAATATGGCCGGATATCGAATTTCTATCGAGTCTTCCCGATAAAAAATTTTTCATGCATGAATATAATAAATATGTATAAATATTCATAAACATATATGTATAATTATATATGAAATATGTTCATACATGTCCATACATCCTTCTTTCTTTTATAAAATCCTTTTGCAAAGTTCCTTCCAATGTAATTTTTATTACATTAAAAAGTAATTTTACGAAAGAAAGAAGGATGTATGAACATATATAGACGTATTTTATATATAATTTTATATGTTTATAAATATTTCTACATGTATGTTTATACATATTTATTATATTCATGCATGAACAATTTTTTACCGGGTTGATTCTACCATGCTGCGTGTCTAATATCGTAGGATCTTGTGTCTGTATTACACCGGCATCTACATGTGCAATAGATGCTCTTCAACTTTCAGATCCGGTGTTAAATATCGCCACAATCGTTCTCGTGTGTAAACTGACATTTGTCGCGTAGCTTATCAGTTACAAGTACGAGCCATACCGCGAGTCATGTTATGAAGTGTGTAATTTTAATAAATCAAGCGTCTCTCTCTCTCTCTCTCTCTCTCTCTCTCCTCTGGTACTGGGTTTGATATTTAATACGTCAAGATGCCAGAGAGATATTTTTTCCGTAGCACAACATATCAACCGCGAGTTGCGACTTTTGATGAGATTGATGGAAATAATTATAGTCTATGACGAAACATGAATTGGATAAAATAATTCTAATCTATCGTATATTTATCATCTTCAATGTCAGTCATCATCAATATTATTACATTATTTATTATGTTAAATCATACAAGTTGAGATATAAACAATATTTTTACGGTGATAATATAAATTTTAAAACTGATAATTATTATTAATATAAAATTGTACATAAATATATATTTGATAATTTTCTCATTTTCAAATATTTCGATATCGTATTTATGCAATATATTTATATTATATTAATTGATATTAATCTGTTGTATAGCTTCAATTGATATTAACATTTTGTGATTTTACGAGAAATGTTTTATTTTGAAATACATTATACTAACATTCAAATCAGATATTAATAATTGATATTAGATAATTGACTTCAAATATGATTAGTGTTATTATTTTATAAACATATTTTTTAATTTTATATCAAGCACATAATTATGTAAAAGAGATCAAACTTTATTGAGATTTAAAAGGTTTATTACAAGAGAATTGTTTACGATTAATTATGTAATGACTACAATAATTTTCTCTACATGAATCAAGAGATGAATTATAAAGTATAAGCAATGAAAATAACATAAGAAAATTAACAATAAATTTGAAGAAATATATATAAAGATTACTCAATTTGCATTCATTGCAATTAATTAACGGTCATTTTCATAATTATTTTCGAAATGTTACATTTTATATTTTATTACAAATTACAACGTATTTATTTAAAGGACATGCGTGATAAAAAAAATTTCGAAATGAATTATGAATACAATACATACATATAATTTTAGTATTTATTGTTTCTTATGTAATATGTTATAGATATATGTGTTAAGTTATTCACATATGTTGCAACTGAAATAGCAATTTTTTTCATCAGATTTTAATTGAAAATGACAGAGGTAAAGAAAAACGGAATGTGCTCGCGTAAACTCGTAAAGGATCACTTGCTTTCGCGCAGTGTTAAGAATTAATATGACAGAGGCAAAGAACGGTTAGCAAACGTTGTTCGTGCGCAACGATGAGACCACGATTTCGCATACAATAAACACAACAGGAGTTCTATCGCGAATCTTTTTACTGACGTAATAACAGACCACGCGACAATACGCGCGATTCGCTGCCATTAGCTTCGGCCGGTGACGTGAAAGAAAATCGATGTGAAAAAGGAGCAGACCGAATCAATAATACCGACAGTGTGTTACGTCAATGTTGTTCAGAGATGCGGCAGGCAAGTAGGCAATCTGTGCTCTATTGCAACAGTCAAGACCTTTATATTATGCTCTTAACCCTGTACTTCGATTGCAATGCGCCGCTAGAAAAGATGTGTGTATTAAATATAAAATATAAATACACATGAGAGAGAAAGAGAGGGAAAAAGAGAGAAGGAGAGAGAATGAGAGAGAGGAGGGGTGGAAGAGAGAAAGAGAGAAAGTGAGAGCATCTAAAGACTTGTATCGCGGCAGTGCAACACTTCGTGAGATGTCGCAACTTCGTTCCAGTAGTCAATCGAAATGTGGAGAAGCGTGAGAAGCTACTCCAGCGAGACTGACAAATGCGATTGCATGTGCCCGTTAGTTCATTAATATCTCATTATAATGTCGATGCATACGTTTGTGTGGGCGCGCATCTGACGTTTATATTATGCCCGGCGATGATATCACCGACTATTGTTGTAATCGCTTTTCTTCATATTTTAATAAGAAGAAATAATGAGACACGCTAATGACAATGGCAGCCGGATTGTGAATTTACGGATAACTTTAATCCCCACAGAACTGAATTTATCGAAAGGAAAATCTAAATTTTTCACAAGTTTCTACATTGTAGTACATAATTAATTGTTAGATATTTATTGTTAGTGAAAGTTAAAATGAATTCATTCTCTCTCTCTCTCTCTCTTATTTATATGAAATTTGTCCGTCAAATGAGATAATTTTATATCTTGTGACCGTGATTCTTTGTCAGATGATCGACAGTTAGTTAGATTTATCTGCATCAGAAACAGCATGTAAGTATTTAACGGTGGATGCAACGATCATCGATTTGCCGCAGGGATAAGAGATCGTTTGATTAATCAAGCGAGTGAATTAACTAGGCGACAGCAGTAAGTGATTTATAACAAAACTGTTCTATCAACGCGCTCATTCTTTGGGTAGCAGAGGGGAAGGATTGAGTCGTAATGAAGTTTTACAAATGATGTAAAGGTCGCGCGGAGTAAAGAAGGAGAATAATCTTAGCTAATCAATGCATGTATAACAAGACAAGTTCCACGCACCTCCTCTCCGGGAATTTGTCTGGACTTCTTTCTATTCATACTTTTTTTGCAAAGATAAGGCTGGAGACCTTTGCATAATGCACAATGCATAAAGCATAAGAAAATCAACCAATTAGAGTCTTTTATTTCACGGAAAGGAAAGAAATGAAAGATTTTGATTGGTTTATTGTCTTACGCATAATGCGTTATGCAAGACTCTATACTTCCTTAATTAATAAACGATATTTGTAATTGACAATTGAAGATCTGAACTTTTCATGCGTATCAAAAACTTATACCATCAGCGTAAGATCACTTGTCTTTTCTTCAGACAGACAAGAAATATCTCGTTATTCTTACGACAATAAATTAACAATTGATTTTTATCGCTGCAAATTATCATAAATTATTTATAATTATAATGAATGACAATAAACGAGAAGTGCAACTGTTATGAACAATAAAGTGTGAAGCGAGGATTTATATGCAAAGGCCTTTCTAATAATTCGTCTTTTGATTTAATAATCAATTTTACGGTTTTTTTACGATTGTAAAACTCTGACTGCCGTTTTCGAAGTTTATGATGTCTCTGATGCTTAATTATGTGAATATGCTGACTACGTGGGTGGTATACCGCGCGTTTTACTGTAATACATGTGATTGCAATTACACCTACTAAATAATACACGCGATCCGTGATAACAAAAATATCAATTTTAAATTTTTATAAATCTATACCGGATATATAAGGTGAATTAAAACTAGACAAATTAAACCGACACGTACCTGCAGATAATACATCTTTTGGCCGAGTAATACAAGTCGATCGTGCTGGAACAATGCTAACTCGCGTACTCGTTAGCGGAAACAACAACGAAAGAACCCTTTAGACGAATCAACGCGCACTGAAAAAGTTTCAAATTAACACTGTATGAGAATGATACGGTGGCAACTTTCGCTATTTACGCAAAATATATGCTCGCGAGAGATATTTTATGATTGTGAGCGAATGAGTACGAACGCGGGGAAAAGGGTCGAATGCGTTGGATGACGATCATTTTTATATACATGACGGTTTTGCAATAAATCACGATAATTAATTCTTTATATATTTTCTTAAATGATGTATAATCAAGAAAGAAATAAATTGATTATGAATACTCGTTTTTTGTACTTCTTTGTTTTCGACACGTTTTTACAATATATAGTGTTTTAATATATATTTCACATATTTTGAATTCTTTTGTAGTCTCCAAAATTTTCGTATTACACATAAAATTGTAAATAAATGTCTGATACGAATTATATATTATTTAAAATAGATTTAATATAACAATTAAAACTTGAATATATATTCAAATAGTACATATAAATTGATTTTCTCATTTACATTCATTTAGAAAAAATGATTTTTTATTTTATTCTTTCAAAAATTTTTCCAGTAATATTTTTGAAAATGTATTCTTTTAATTTATAAAATTAAAAATTTTTTTTTAATTTATAAGAATTTATTTATTTTTTTACAAAATTTTATTTATTATTTTTACATGATGTGATCTGTTACTAATTATATATAAATATGTTGTCTTTTTAAGAAAAAAATATCACGAGTACCTAAAAAACACTTTAGGAAAATATCTACTATTTATGAATAATATTCCAATAAGTCAAAGATATTATTTATATCAACATTTTTTTAAGAGCATCGAATTAGCGTTACATTTTAATTTAATAACACACTGAAATTACCCGACGAAGTTTTATACAGATACGAATAGAATTATATTTTTCATTTCCTAAAACACCAAATAATTTAACTATTCAATCAATAGAACTATATCATGCGTAACTCTCTGGTTGACTGTGCACTGCTGCACTGCTTTGAAAAAAAATCTTCGATAAATCAATTTCAATAATCGGTGACGATACATCACTGAGACACGATGAAATATATCACCGGGATCTCGCCTAGCGTTCGTGTCGATTCGAGGGTTTTACGCGATCAGCAACTTTTAGCGGAGGGTTTCACAAAAACGAGGTGATACAATCGGATTATATGTAGTACACGTGCGTATGCGTATACGAACGGGATGCGTGTATATGTGTTGTGCTGTTATTTCGTCGATGCACTCTCCGGCACGACTGTGAATAAAGTCGGTACGTAACTACTCGGCATGCTGGTACGTTGGGTTTATATAGCATGGGTCTCTAATAAGATGATTCTTGAACAGTGTGTTGGGATTCACAGGTAGGCGGTAGATCAAGTAGAGGGGCCCCTCGTCATACGGAGGGGCGGCTTCCTTGCCATGCCTTACCTTGTCGTGTCTTGCCTTGCCTTATCTTGTCTCACCCTTGCTTCATCACTGCGCCTTTACCTTGCCGTAGAATCTTTCACAGTGATCGGGGAGGGCAAAACGCGCTCGACGATGTTTTCGACACGTTTTTACAATATATAGTGTTTTAATATATATTTCACATATTTTGAATTCTTTTGTAGTCTCCAAAATTTTCGTATTACACATAAAATTGTAAATAAATGTCTGATACGAATTATATATTATTTAAAATAGATTTAATATAACAATTAAAACTTGAATATATATTCAAATAGTACATATAAATTGATTTTCTCATTTACATTCATTTAGAAAAAATGATTTTTTATTTTATTCTTTCAAAAAAATTTCCAGTAATATTTTTGAAAATGTATTCTTTTAATTTATAAAATTAAAAATTTTTTTTTAATTTATAAGAATTTATTTATTTTTTTACAAAATTTTATTTATTATTTTTACATGATGTGATCTGTTACTAATTATATATAAATATGTTGTCTTTTTAAGAAAAAAATATCACGAGTACCTAAAAAACACTTTAGGAAAATATCTACTATTTATGAATAATATTCCAATAAGTCAAAGATATTATTTATATCAACATTTTTTTAAGAGCATCGAATTAGCGTTACATTTTAATTTAATAACACACTGAAATTACCCGACGAAGTTTTATACAGATACGAATAGAATTATATTTTTCATTTCCTAAAACACCAAATAATTTAACTATTCAATCAATAGAACTATATCATGCGTAACTCTCTGGTTGACTGTGCACTGCTGCACTGCTTTGAAAAAAAATCTTCGATAAATCAATTTCAATAATCGGTGACGATACATCACTGAGACACGATGAAATATATCACCGGGATCTCGCCTAGCGTTCGTGTCGATTCGAGGGTTTTACGCGATCAGCAACTTTTAGCGGAGGGTTTCACAAAAACGAGGTGATACAATCGGATTATATGTAGTACACGTGCGTATGCGTATACGAACGGGATGCGTGTATATGTGTTGTGCTGTTATTTCGTCGATGCACTCTCCGGCACGACTGTGAATAAAGTCGGTACGTAACTACTCGGCATGCTGGTACGTTGGGTTTATATAGCATGGGTCTCTAATAAGATGATTCTTGAACAGTGTGTTGGGATTCACAGGTAGGCGGTAGATCAAGTAGAGGGGCCCCTCGTCATACGGAGGGGCGGCTTCCTTGCCATGCCTTACCTTGTCGTGTCTTGCCTTGCCTTATCTTGTCTCACCCTTGCTTCATCACTGCGCCTTTACCTTGCCGTAGAATCTTTCACAGTGATCGGGGAGGGCAAAACGCGCTCGACGCTCCCTCGAGATAACGAGATCCTGGTTTCTCGTATTATGTCGAGAACGTTAGGAATGAGGGTAAATGTCTGGGAAAGAGGGTTTCCTCGTACAAAAAAAAATTTCACTCAATGATATTAGACTATGAAAGGGAGAGAAGGGGAAGCATACATTTACTTCCTTTTTGGAAAATAAAAGTATCTCTCACTAAAATTGATTAAAACTTTGTAGTCGCTATAGGATGTAATTAAAATAATAATTCTATTTGAAAATACTTTTGAAAGCATTCATATTATGTATGTTAAATTGGAAAATGTAAAACATATTTCATGATAAAATATGATAAAATATGATTTAATATAAGATCTAATTTATTTAACACTGTAAATAATAATGCAACAACATAATGTTATACGTATTCTCTGTCAAGCAAAAATGATATACATATGTACATATATATAAATAATTTATTTATTTGTGTATATATACCGAGGGAATAACCACTAGTGTTGAAATATTGTCCCACAGATTACATGATTTCATATGATTTTATTTGATCACAAATAATTTTTTTCACTATGTATGAAGTCATTTGGTAAAATATATGATTTTATTTAATATTATACAATGATTTCTCGTGGTTGCATATGTAATTAACAGATTATACATAGAGATTGTATATAGAGATTTCATATGAATTTTATAATGATTTCGAGGACTCTGTCCCACGATTACATTAAGTGGTTACCCCTTCGATATATACACAAATAAATAATACAAAATAATATCTTGACGGATAATTGTAAAATATTTATATAATAAATAGATGTACAAATAAACTAAACACAAAAAATAAATACTTTAATAAACAGCTTAGAATAAATTGCATACGATGTACGTATATGTATACATAGTATCATTTGCTATATCGACCCATTTATGCAACGCGGTATGAATTATATTACGATAATAAACCTACATGATGAATAAGCACTTCATCAACAAGAGACATAATACATAACTACTATGTGCGGAGGATCGAGGATTTCTGCAGTTATCCGCGTATAATACGCTGCAGCTAATGAGAAATTATGTTATTTTAAATTCTCTTACATAAATATCTCGTATTTAATACACGTAAAAAATTTGTTTACCACTTTTATATATTTAAACAGTTTCTGGTTTATTATTCCATTAAATAGATTAAAGATTGCCATTTTGATTCATTAGACTATAAGTGTCCATCATCGCGATTAGATCTAATATGATTATTACTCAACTAATAACTACCGCACAATATTATACTACACATACTTTCTACCACTTGCGTCTTTTTTTTAATACTATACAATAGTATATTAATAGTATATTAATATTGTCGCAATTTAATTTTATTCAGATATATCAGTTTGTGTTGCAGCTCTAAAACTGAAATGTAGACAAAATATATGATAAAGATAAATTAAAGATAATCAGATTTTTTAAATAAAGGAGATTGTGCAACAATATTCCGATTTTAAAAATGTTATTTTTAAATGATTTTTCAGTAGTTATCAAATATAATGTTTTGTGTGTGTGTGTGAATGTTAATATTTATGACTTTCTTTTTTGTTTAGTTTAATTTTAAAACATCTATTATTCTTGTCATAGAAATCATACTATTCCATTTATGACTCTCAATTCTTGACAGAAATATATTCAGCGTCTAATTCCAATAAATATTAAACAGATGTCGAAATAATTGCGGAGTTCTCGATTATAAATGAGATGATCTTAATTTCACAACTATCTCATTTTTATCTTCACGAAAGAGATTGTTTCGAATAAAGATTATTTCCCTTCTTGTCGAAATATGCGCTCTATTGTTCATTTTAATTTCGTTATTCGAATTTTGTAATATATGATTCGTTTATATTCCTGTCAGCCGTTGGTTATTTAACATTTGAAATTGCTAAACCAAGATTCAAAGATCCACGTCGTAGCTATTCTGTAGCAGTGAATGGCGATGTTCGTCCAGTTCTCCGCGAAAGAAGACAGTTCTTTAACACTTGATGCACGCGGCGTTCGCTCTAGGAGTTTCCAATACGGTCATCCGCGTAATCGATGGCGTAATATGAGGTTTTGAATTTACCGAGCACTGAGACTCCGTGACGTTTAACCCTTTCATAACTCTTCCGCAAACCCGAAGAGAAATTCCCGTATCATATTCAATTGCTGTAAAATCACTTCCTCATGTACTCATGAATTTTTATATCATTGCCATTGACTATTTTGGCTTTAAAAAATAATTTGATTATATTATAACGAGGAAAAAATTGATTTATCTTTCATAGTTAATGCAGTTGAAGATTATATCAAATCCTGCATTATAATAATCGATTATATTAATTTTTCTAAAATAATACTACCATTTTTTTACGTTATTTATTTTTACAATACAATATTTACACGTTAATTATATTTAGGATGTAGTTAAAACATATTTTAATATGTATAAAAATATAAATAGTTCTTTTTTTTTTTCCTTCAATTGTAAATTGCTATTAATTATCGAAATATTTGATAAAAGTTTTGTAAATTTTTCTCTAAAAGAAATAGAGTATATTATTTCCATCATTTGAGTCATGAAAAATTTAAAACATTTATTTTCTACACTTTACTTTATCTTCTTATCGCACTGTACTTTGCTTATTACATGATGCAAATTACTTTTGAGAAGACTTTTATTGCATTACATACTTAAAAACAGTTATATATTTGATTAAAAATAATTATTTAAATGTTAATTACAATTTACTCATCATATTTTGCTAATTAGATTGGAAAATGCGTAAAACAATAAAATATATAATACTTAAGAGAAGATTGAATCGAAAATAACACATGAAAAAATCATCTTTCATAACTACATTTGGCATCTTAAAATTGTAGTTTAAAAATACGTGATAGATTCTTGCCTATAATTATCTATATATGGACATATGCTGATGCGCTTGAAATGACATCATGGAATGCCAAAGTTTAGTAGCGCCAGGATGATATCGAACGGATCATAAGGAAGACATTCTCTTCTTTGATTTTTTTTTAATCGACGAAACTGGCAATAGCTCACCGATGAAAAATGGGAAACGCACATGTGAATAATGAGAAATATTGCTATTCGATCTGCAGCTGCTTCGCGCGAGGATAAATCGTGACTTGTGCGAGCGCGCTTATTATTTATTTCTTCATTTTCGTTTGTTGTTAATTTTATACAGTGCAAAATGCAAAATATTTTTTCTGATCACACTTAATTAAATTTCCTTTCATGCTTTAATTCCTTTTATAAGTAATTCCTTGTATAAATATGTTATATTATTGTCTACATTGGATTTTGCTGAATAATATGACTTAAAAATGACTTAAAAATAATATTAATTACTGTGTGTATCGTTATTTGAAAAACTGCCTTTTTTTTACATATCAAAGAGAGAGCTTTTAAAAGTTCTAAAGAATTTCACATTAAAAAAATATT